ATCACCACTGTTTTAATCCACTTCATTCTCAGTTTAATCTGTTGCGTGCTGAGACATTAACTCCTCTGTTAACACTTCCTCGTTCCGTACATGTTCTGAGTTGCAGAGTGAGCCAGTAGCTCTCCATACCCTCATCTGCATAGCTGCTGCATGCAGTTCTGCTTACCTTCTTGCCTATTTCACCACAGCATAGTTCATAATCGTTTCATGCAGAAGGGGGTTTTATTGCACTTTTGAAGATATGGTTATCTTTTTTACCTCCAACTGGATGACACAAGAAAAACGCAAACATGACAATAGAGAATACTACAGAAACTACTCTCAAGCCACATACCAAAAAGGCAATAAAAAGATCTTTTTGATTGCCCCTAAAGTTAATTTCTTTAGGTGAATCGATCTGCTTCACCTCAACAATCTTCTGCTACAAACTGAGAAACGTTTTTCAGGCTACTTTGCAAGCCACTTATTCAAAAGAGAAACAGATTGGTCCACTCTAACCAAAATCACACTTGGTTAGAAATAGAAGCCATTTATGGACTTCTATGCCTATGAAAAGACTTATCTACTTATGGAAAGCAGAATTACGAATGGGCAACAGGTCTCCAGTAGTAGGTTTGGTGAATTTAGCGTGGTCCTAAGCTATTGAGGACAGACTGTGGGTTGATGTGCCCTTTAAAACGTCCAGTGATGGAGATTCTATAACTGCATTTAGCAGTTTGTGTTAGTAGTTTATTCATCTGTATTTAAAACTTAACTTCTTTACTATCTAAACTAAATCCCAGCTTCTGCCATTTAAAGTCATTTCAGGATATTGGCAGGAAAAAAATTAAAAGGCGAAGATCTTCAGAGAAAAGTAGGAGCAAATATATTTTACAAACCAGGAAAAGAATACAAGACTTCCAGTAGAAGACATAATTAAACACTTTAAAAAGAGAAGTTACCATTAATCTTTTAAATACAGTGTTTTGGAAGTCAAGTGTGAGTCCATCATTTGGACACTTTTATGTCTGCATTTTTAAGTTCTGTGTTACTGTAAAAAAGTTATTCTCTTTAAAAAAAAATACTCAGAAAAGAATGGCTTTCTTTAGTAAAATTCTGATGACTGGAGTAGAAATATCATTTGTAACTTATCCTCTTTCAGTCACAGGACAAAATACCAGTTGTTTGCAGATGCAATGGAAAAATCTGATAAAACACGAAACGAGCTAATACTTTCCTACTTACACCTAGAAAGACACATTACAACTAGGCAAGAAATCTTCAATTCTGAAATTGAATGCTTTTTCCTTAGATTTCTTATTCCACTTCCTTCTCCTGCAAATTTGTGTTCCCCAAATGGGAATCCTGATGTCTATCTTGCAATCTAATTTCTTTTCCTCTATGTATTCCTCTTCTTGTTCCAGAGTAAGATTTACAAATCAAGTAGGTCAATATTTGTTTGTCACTAAGCAAAATACTCTACGGAATTTTTTTTGAATTTTGAAAGGTTTTTCTGTAGTTTACGAAGCCAGAAAAGCCTTGTGTATATCATGTATGCAAAACATAAAACTACACAGAATACCAAAACAGATAAATTAAATACACTGAAATCCTTATCCAGCTCCTCCTGATTTTTAGTTTGGTGATATGGTACAATAAAAATCGAGACTGATTTTTAAGATAATACATGTGTATGGCAGGCAACATACTTCTTTTCATGGAACTGATAATTTTATAACTTTGGGGTTTTTTTCTTAAAGGGTAAAATGGCTAGAAAAACTTGCGTAATTCTTTTTGATTCCTATCATCATAACATAAACATAAACTTAACATAAACATAAAATTTTTGTAATAAAATGGTAACATACCACTATCTGGATTTTAAACTGAAATGTAATTTATCACCTAAAGAATCTTGTTATTTGAAAAATGAATCTTTTAAAGAATATTGTAATAAGCATTCAATGCATTTGACAGTTTTTGAACTAATCTACCTTGAAACATGATGCTAAATTTAAAGTTGCACTTGCAAAATCGTTTATAAAATGGCGATTATCCTTCTTATCCAGCCTGATCTAAGTAGTGCATAAAGCAATTTCTTTGTAGCAGACTAATCTGGAACTTTGTTAATTGGCAGCAATTAGAAGCATTTCTGTGCAGATGTTTCTTCTACTAGCTTCTCCATGACCTGCAGTCTTGTTTCAGAGACCCTGAACAGGTCTGTGTCTATTTTTAATTTTTTTTAAAAAGCCAACAGCTATAGAATTGAAGAAGGCCTGAGACAGAGATGCTTGTCTTCCAGATAATATTAGCCTTTCCGTATGTGGTCTCTGCAGCACTACATCACGCTGATTCCTCTCTTAAAAACACGCTGGTGCCAAGGCAACTGTTAGCTTCCCTTTATTTTGTGTTTCAGAGCATTACTCAGGTTTCAGACACTCTTGTGCTGCTCAAACAGAAACAGAGATAAACTGTTACATATAGAGAATGTAATCTTTGTTTTCTCACAGAAAGATAGAGCTAAATGTTCAACTGGTAAACTTGTATAGATAACTTCACTGGCTGCCTTGGGCTAGATAATGTATACTGGCTGTGAATCTAGGACTTTTTAAAGTGGCTTATATAAGAGGCAGTACAAATGAAAGGAATACATTTGTAGAAGAAGGAGGGAAAAAAATCCACAAAATCATTCTACTCTGTTGGCCTGGTATTTTTGTGTTAATTTAAGAATAATTCCATGATGCTCAACAGCAGTTTATTGCTTTTCAACAGATGCAACTTCATTCACTGCTGGTTTGCAACTTCTGAGTTCAGCTGGGAAAAATCAGCTGTGTTCACTCCTTATGTGAGAAACAGAGAGCTCAGAAATCCCTATGCACTATATAAATGAGGCTTAGAAGTGGGTAGGCTGCTTTGTTTATACTTGTGTTTTGCTTCCTAGTTAGTGGAGATGTGAATGGTGAGAAGGACTGGATGTGATTTGGAGAAAAATCTGTACCTGTGCTTAATTCTGGCGAAATAATTCCATGGAAACCATGTAGAAATTGTAAAAGAGAAAATGTCACTACAAGGGCCTCCTCCTGAACACACATGAACAAATGGTGCAGAGATCTGCGCTGGTATTTGCCTCACCTGGGGTGTTTCCAGGAGGGTACAGCAATGTGTGATCACGCTCTCCTGAGAGCTGGAACAGGGTTTGCCCTGGCAGCCATTGGCAATGCCTGAGATCTTGGCACAGCATTGTGACAACAAAGCATTTTGCCCCTGGTCCTGAGCTGGGGTGATTCTATTTTTGTACCAGGAACTAAGACACAGGTTTTAAAATTCACAACGAAACAAAAAAGTCTGATTTAAAGTGAAGACCATTTTAAGACCTCATCAAAACCTGTAAATACATTCTGTTTAATTTTGCCAAAATGTAAACCCACTTCTTTTCTTGTGAGAAAATATTGTTTCTGTTGTTGATAGCTTGCTTTTTAGCCCTCTTTTTGACTACTATGACTTTCCTTAATACACTGCAAAGAGAGTGATTTATATGGCTAATGCTGAAGAATATTGTCTTTTAAAATTGTTTTTTACATTCTTTTGTCTTAACTGATTTAATAAATACTTTTGCAGGATACACACACAAAAAAAATCAGTGCCCTATGGCTTTTTGTTGCTGATATTCTTCCACTGCTAAAGAAAGAAGAGATATACTGCCATGTGACGTTTTAAAAGCACCTCAGTAAAGGTTATTGAGTTATTTATAAAATCTCTACAATGAAATTAGACAACCTATGTAAATCAGTCTGTCATAATGTTTGCCTTTTCCACTGAAAGATTAAGAAAATAAAAATCCATAGGAAAGCAAAAAGTACTTGGCATCCAGAGCAATTTACTAATTGGAAAAAAGATAAATTATCCACATTGTGCCTTGTCAGCAAAAAATCCTCTCTTTGATTCCACCAGTTCAAAGCCAAAAGGCAAGGTTGAAGACATAGATTCAGCTTGAGTGTACTGGACTCTAAAATTAATTTTAATGCAACCGTCTAGATATTTCCTTAGTCTGCATGATTATAATTTATTTCTGGACATTACTGCTTGCTAAATGTTCCAATCACTTTGGGTGAACCTTACGAAGTTGTCCTCTCTTTCACAACCCAACTGCAATAAACCTCATTGCTTGGCTAAAGAAAGCTGCTTTGGATGCCAGCTAACTCAATGCTGCTTTACTTGCCTTGAAGAGTGCCAGGGAGAAATGCTTGTAGAGGCTGATTTTTAAGAACCCCTGAGCAGTGTCAGCAACCCTGGAGACCCATCAGCACTTAACTCTTCTAAAGGGCAAGCCCACGAAGCTATGAATTGAATCTGTACCTCCCCATAGTGTTTAAACATGTCAGGGCAGCAAAGAGCTCTTTCACAAAGTGGCTTATATTGCATGTGTGTATAACTTCAGCCATTGCAAGCTTTCTGTCTTATTTGCCCCTTTCACCCTTAGAGCATTTAAGTGCACTTTGTTCAATTTTTCTATTTCCACAGCTCTAAAAAGACCTACTAAGAATGAAACGTTCAGCACAGCTTTATACTCAGAACTAGCACTGCAAACATTAAGGTGGTCCTTACTCTTCCTTCTCAAGAATGTATAACTGACATTTTATCTCTGTATCAAACAAAGTAAGCACAAATTTGAAATTCAGCAATTTAGAATTTATTTTCTCTCATGTAAATCACCAGTTTTCTCCAGGTTCAACAATAGTATCAGTTATATTTTCGTGTGCTCAGTTTTTCAGTAATTTTAAGAATCTGACTAAACATGGGTATTTTTTGGCTAATTTTGCACCCTTTAATATATTGCACCATTTAATATATTAATATATGCAACCTATTCTCATTATTTCCACCAAAATGAATCCATTTGTTTTCTTAATAGCAGGCTTAGTATTTTGAGAACAGACATGAAGTCCTGTCTTTAGACTATACTTCAGGGCTTTACTTTCATACTAGAAGAGCTACAAATCACAAGGAGATGGTTTTCTTACCATAATGGGGAATTATTGCCCAAGCCATTGCAGAAGCGTAGATGCCACCAATCATCCAAAACATACAGAGCCAACTCAGGTGTTCACCTCGTTTCTCCCGAGCAAGCACTTCCGAAAAATAGGAGAAGACTGTCGGCACAGCTCCACCAATCCTAAAAGGAGATACAGATCATGGATTAAGCAAAAGAGTGACAGCTAGTTGAAATTTGAAGAAGCCCATAGCTACAGTCATTGAAAATGCAAACTACAAGCAGTTTTTCTGGCAAGAGTCTTTTTTTCTCTAATAGCACCATGTATTGGGGAAGTCTTGAGGAAACTTCCACCACTTTGGACACAATTTTTGCCAAATATTTCGTTGAAAATTCTGTGTACAATTCATTGCATTCAGTGTTTCAAGGGAATTGTCTATGTGCCAGTTGCTGGAACAGAAACCAGCACAAAGAGTTGACTTTCACCATTACAAAAATCCTGAAATCATGACAGTATAAGGATGAGTATCAAAATCTTTTAACTGAAATCTTTTTGCTTTTAACTGAAAATACTAGCCATATTTCCAAAGAATAATAGGTATTTCTCTAAGTCTTGCCTCCCACACTTTAGGTAATGAAGAAATTACTACATGCCAACTATGTTACAAATACATTTAATTTCACACATATTTAAAAAGATGTTCCATTGAGTTGCACTACATGATTTGCTAAGCCCATGCTGATCTTTTAGTAAATTTTTTTGAAAAGGCTATGATTTCATATAGTATTGATTTTTTTTCACTTGGTAAAATAAACACTCTCTGAAGATTATTTGGACAAAAAAAAAACCGGTTCAACTTGGTTTTGCAAAAATTAGAGTAACTCAAATGATGTATCATTTTCAGTACCAGCTTCCTGACCATCTTTTACTGTCTTTACCTCTTCACTACCAATGCAAGCTGTCAAATGTTCCACAACAGGACAAGTCCTTGTGGATTTTATTTTTACTGCTGAAGAAAATACCTGTGAAGCTTGAAGAGATATTCTCACATACCAGATTACATCCTTTAAAGCAGCATCTTGCAAGGTTTTAATTTTTAACTGAATTTTAAGTATAAATGCATATTTATGCTGTCATCAGGGAGCTGCCAAACTAGGACCAAAAAGAAGGAAGCTTAAAAGAGATTAAAACAAATATTAAAAGGAAAACATGAATACAGAAATGGTATGTCACTCTTAAGAGAATTCAGTGCCATAGCAATACAGTTTATTTTAAGACCTCTTCAGATGCAGCGATGAAATACTGGATTGAGCTGTTATACTTGTTTAGGGGTCTGCCATTTTGTCACCTCCTCCTGGACAGCGCTTCATGAAGTACCACTGGTTGACTCAGCTTTACAATGAATGTTTCCCACAGTTGAGGAAACCTCTGCCGGTTCTGCAAAAGGTTCATACCTCCACGAATTCTTGTTAGATATACAGCTGACAAGGGCTGTATCTCATTTCTTCTCGTAAGTGAAAACACAAAAAGCCTTCACTAGCGAACTGCCCTGTCACAGGCAGCAGGAAGACATTGTCCTGAGAGGTTCTCCTGGAAGAGTGAGGAAGAGTGAAAGGGGCATGGCTAAGGGTGGAATCACAGCCCATTTTGCTGTGACAGTGAAGATCTGCTGTCACAATGGTGCTATGGACTGAGGGCTCTCCTGTTCCCAAAGTGAAAGCGAATTACAGCTGTGATTCCTTACCTCCAGGACTCAGACAAAGCTTGGAATTGCACTCCCACAATATTGCCCAAATACAGTACTCATGGATCTAATTAGAGTTCTTTTTCTAGTGTTGAAAATTCACTAGCAGAACCACAATCAAGGTCTCCCTCGTTCCTGCCTAAGCTGGAAAGTACTGATGAGGAATTTTAGGTACCCGCTTTCAAGAAGATCTAAATTAATAGATTGCTCATGGCATGTAGGACAGTATCACTCTGGCAATAACACACTGCCTAAAGAGAATAATTTGTGGTAAGTGAGTGCTTTTTTCTCATATTGCTTCTGCTCATTAAAAAAAGCACAGAAATTGGTAAGTAAGTATATATTTGGTAATTTTCCTGTTCTATTATCCATTTTGTTCTTCTAAATTTACTATTTTCTTTGTTTCGTATGTTTTTTCATGAAGTACAGAATCTTCTCTTTATTTTATAATGTAGTTACTATGGTAGTAAATATAGCCTGAAACCATCTGTGCTATATAGCACAATTAATAATAAATCAAATTTAACACTTTAATAGTTTTCCTATTGCAAAGTGGTTGAAACATTCTCTGTACAGTGTTCATTTCAGGCAGATACAGTTCTTATGCTTATGAAATTCAAAACTCAACTTATCATCTTCTTGAAATCTCCCTTTAATCTCCAAGACTGGAATTCTGATGAAGTGGGGCTTGTGGAGGGTTTCCAACGTGTGGAGTAAGTCATGCATCCGTAGGTCATACAAACATTTGTGGGATGATGGTTTAGGAAATGGGTGGATGTTTCAAGAGGAAAGAATATACCCTATCTTAATGTCATAAACTGTACAGACATCCTGAGCAAAGGCAGCAAAACAGGCATCTCCCACCTGTCAGCATGAACCAACTGTACCATGGAGGAAAAACTGACTCATATGCTGTGTCCTAAAGGTCGTCTAAGACTACAGAAGCAGCATTGTCTGTGCTGACCAATTTAATAGGGCAAATTTTCTAACAAATAGAACTTTTAGACATCTAAGAAGAATTTTGGAACCAGCAAACAAAAATCTTTATTTAGGATATGCAAATAAACAGAGAAAAATCAGCTTGGAAAAAAACCCAGTTTTTCTGTTTCATCTGATGTGATTGACATTTCCAGTGAGTACACCAACAGTCTAAGAAAAGCTTAAAAGTCCAGATACTCTGTTCATATTGATTAAACAGTGAAAATAACCTGTCTACTGTCTAAAAGAGAAACGTAGCATGTATTTTCATCATACAGAAAACAGCTGCTATTTAGAGTTGCAGGTCTCTGTTTCATAGCAACTGTGTAGTAAAGTGTGTTGTGCACTTCTTGGCACCTTAAATGTGTGAATGGAAAACTTACTTCTCAGCTGGTTAAATGCTTCCTTCTGGCCTCATGTAAGTGCAGAGTGATGCTGCTAGAAGCTTTTTTGGATACCAGTATCCGAAAAGCTCTTCCTATGTCACAAAGCTATTACAATGACTAAAAAGCTATTATGAAAATCTTAGAGAGGCTAACTAACAGCTGAATTGGAGGAGAGCAGGGAGATGGAGCAGAAGCATCCTGCTGCAGAAGACTTTTCGTTTGCTCTTATGCTGGACAATGTCAGGGTGGCAGTAGCCATGCCTCCACTCCCTAAAGATTGCTCCCAGAAGTGGAGCAAGTGACAGCAAAAGGGGAGAGCAGGAAGAGCTACAGCTGTTATCACACCAAACAACAATGAAGAAACTCTTTAAAAACTCTGTGGACCTAGAGAATATTTCTAAGGAGCAAAGACATTTCTGTCTGACTCTGGCAGAAGTTTTAATGTGTGCTTGGTACCACAGCCATTTGCTAGTATAGAACTAATGTGGTATCTGGCATGCTAAACATTGCTATCAGAGGCATAAACTACCTCTCAAAGACTTGGGCAAGAGAAGATCAGAGCAACTCTGACTTCTTCCGTCACTCTCTTGTGAGGATCTTTCACAAACTTCAGCAGCTATTGCACATTATGAATTAATTAATTAAATGTTCATATTAAAAAAACCCCACCATATCACCCAACAGGTGCAAGGAATAATGCACTTTCGATAGTCAAAAAAATGTTAGGCTGCATCCCACCTTCACTTACACTGATATAAGCCCTTAATAACTTGGTGGCTCCAGTTGAGCGGTCTTGTATTTACACAGAAGGAACAGACTTTGGTCCTCAACATTTTCATACTACAAGTTTGAAAGCAGACTGCCTCTTTGGTATCTCACCAACATTGTTTGGAATTGATGATGGAATGTGCAGGAGGGAATTCCAAATAAAACCAAAGGCAGAGTTGCCACTGATTGTAAGGTAGGAAGACTTCACCTTTTGTTTTATGGGAATGCAAACACTGTTTTCCCACAGGATACAGTACTAAGTCTGCCTCTGGCATTTAATTGGTTTGATACAGTGGACTATTTGCTCTTATTGTGCTTATAAATTATAGGGCTTGTCCTCACTTGTAGAAGAGAATTCTATACATGAGACTGCATTCTTTACTTTACACATATGCACGTGCAGATGGAAAGCCTGTGAAAACCGTGCTGACTTGAGAAGGATGTTTATTCTAAAAGATGAGATGGATTTTAACTTTCTTAAATACATGATTCAAGCAAACTTAAGTTTTTACATCTTATTCATGTATGTTAGTTCTTCAGTCATCATAGCCAAAGCAGTGGACATAAACTTGTCATCCACAGATCATGGGGAGGAGTCCATGCACTACTTCCCAAAGGGTCACAACAAGTATCTATGAGGTGCAAATATATTGTGAGTATGTATAAATTAACTATACAAGGTTTTTACACCCCCATTGGAAAATTGTGTAGATTCTGAACATTTTTTTTAAAGATTAAAAAACAGTTGTCTAAACCTCTGGATTGATGATCATGAGTGATAACTGTTGCCAGAATAACAGAGTCTGTAATGAGGCTCGGTCTAATACCAGCAGGAGGCAAAAATTTGTTAAGCTTGGTTCAAGATCATAAAATAAACACTCTCGCTCAATAAGGGTCAGTCTCTGCACCTGAAACATCAGGATACATTCCTTCAGCCTTGCCTTTTTTAATAAGTATGTAGGAACATATGCAAGAACAAGACTTAATAAAGAACAGGATCCTTTTCTACTGCACATATTGTTCCATATATGGAGAGAATGGCATAAATGTCAGTCAAAAGAATCACAAATGTCAGTCATGATCTTTTTCAGTTATTTTTCATCTTCTGTAATAAACCCCATCAGCAGTACACAGAGCAAGAGTAGAATGCAGAAATTTTTTTGTATTTTCTCAGAAACATGTAATTCACTTCGAAGGAAATACCAACTAATCAGCATATTCTTACCCTTTTTGATGCAAAAGATGAGCCAGTTTTGGAGCCCTTATGAGTTACTTCTGTTTGGTGAAAAAATTAATGACTGAACAT